AACATAGGATCTATTAAAAAATTATTTTTATAAAGGTGAAATCAAATCCTGTTGTGTATGGCTGATCGTATGGGGGTTTGCTACCCCAGACTGTAACTATTTTTGTTAGCTTGTTATAATATCTTCTTATTACCAAAAAAAAAAGAAATCAAATCGGGATTTCACATCAAAGAATTTTGAAACGGGCCCACCTCCTTGATATTTCTTTTTGTGCACAGGATTTTATCCTCATCACCAACAGCCTGGATTATAGATTCCCCAGATTATTAAAGGATTTTTTTTTTTGAGCTGAAGTTAAACCCAGATTATTATTATTTTTTTTTTAACACAGAAAAAGCATTGCATTACAGCACTGCCAGTACGGCATCTACAGAAAATCTTATCCACGGGATAAGAGTAAAAAAACACAACCAGAGAGAGAACAGCTGGAGAGTAAATCGAACCGGCTCTTGTACGTCAATGGTTCGACTCAAGTGTTTGAGTAAGTGATTCAAGTTTTAAATTCTATCACCGTGAATTCTTAAAAAAAAAAAAAAAGTGATTTGATAATCGCATTCCTTATTCAAAGGTAAAATATTCACTCAATTTTGAAAAATCAATTACTAATAATTACCTCACTATAATAAAAAAAAAAAAAAAAAAAAAAAAAAAACTGAAGAGTAAATCCGAGTAGACCCAATTGCAGTGGCAAGGAAGGGAGGTAAACAGTGCACCCGGACAACCTCAAAGGAGCAGATTATCGGTTCCTCTGGTGGAACGATCCAGATAACTGGACACCCTTCAATCTACTCGTGTAAGAGTGCCGCTTAGTCTCCAGGACGTCGAGGCGGGAAACCAAACCGGCGGTGACCACCAGATCTGGGAACCCAGCGACCACCACGGTAGATCCGCGTGAGGGTTGGACGGCCACCGGATCTAAGCACAAACGAACCAAACAAACAGAAAAACAGAAAAAAAAAAACAAGAAAAGGACCACCAGAAGGGATCCCAAAAGCCGACAGACCACCCAGGGGTCATCGGAGCAGGGAGCACGTAACCGGCTCCAGGAGGCTTGAGCAACCGGAGAGCCCGGCAGCTCAAGCGGCAAAACACTCGGAAAGCCCAAGGGCTTCCGAGTTCAAAGAAGAGGACGATGAGTGAGGGTACGCAGAAACTGGAGAAAGCGGTGAGAGAGAGTTAAACTCAGATTATTAAATATTATTACAAGTAGAAAATTTTTTTTTATTATTTATGGGAACAAGTAATATAAGGTTTGGGATTTATTCCATGTAAGATCACATCACAACCAACCATAAGATATGCCAAAATCCAAATGATTTAAGGAATCTTAAAAATTTTGATCTTGCAATAATGCTATATAATAATAAGATTCACAATTACCCCCTAATTGCATCCTAATCAGATCTGTCTTTTGTCTTGTTCTTCCAGGTATAGATGACCAGATGCGTTTTTCTGATGCAGATTATACGGAAGAATCAAAGAATTAGTTGGTTAAAGCACAGCTGAACTTGTAAGGTGCAAACAAATGGGAGGAAGAAGATCGATGACATTCCAATCTTAACATAGAAGGATATATCATGTTAAAAGTAGGAGTCATTTAGCAATTTAACTCAACAAAAGCTGAGAAGTAGACAAATGTTTACAAAGAAACAGCTTGATGGACTAATATACTTCACATCGTTGACTGTCATTCTCTCTTTCCAGGGAAGGTTACCAAACACCAATGGTTAATAATCTTTCTTACCAGAATTATATGGATAATTTTTGGAGCCTGAGTTTTCGCTACCGTCTTCTCCTTCCTTCTTCTTTCCTTTTCCTCCTGCTTTGGCGGACAGTACAGCCTCTACCACTGTGTGGAATCCCTCTGCCACATCCTTAAACACTCGTTCTCCGATCTTACCTCTCCTTGGTGGAAGAGAAGCCCTCTCTTTGTTGTTGCCCATTGCTTTGTCTTCTGTAAGACAAGGGAAATAGAGTAGAGCCAAGCAAAAGAAAATTTTAAAGAAGAGGAGAAGAAGGAAAAGAAGAGCAGGTAGAACTAGGGGTGGAAAGACCTGGTGGGGTTTACATATACACACACATCATGTATGAAGAAAATAAGAAAATTATTTCATAAGGCTCTAGATATTTGAAGTGTGAACACATAAATAAAAAAGTTTAAAAGACAGACGGATATAAGCCATAAAAAAGATAGATGGACATACTTTGTTGGTCAGGTTCACGCGTGTCTTTTTTCAACACAGTCCAACATAATTAAACACAAGCAGACAGGCGATTTGGTCTCCCAGACCAGACCGAGGTTTCTCATAAATTGCGTACCATTTTCCTTGACATTTTCTCTGGATAAGGTTAGCAATGTTTGCCTTCAAATGGTAATTAGAGATGTGATGAAAAGCTCTGCTAAACTTATCCACAGACCCAATGTGATAAAAGGGTCACTACATAGTACATAATATTAATCTCACTTAAATGTGTAAGAATGATTAAGTTTGTTATTCCAAAGCTTTTCCCATTATGCCACGCTATAGCTTCAATAGATCTTGTATGATGTGATTAGAAAAGTTTTAAGGAGAAGTTGCTACAAATTTCAGAAACATTTTACCCAGCATTTTGTTCTGACTACCTTCTCTACAACCTGAAACATTAGTAAAACTTTATACCAAAACTTAAAAGCCTATTGAAAATGGAACTAAAAATAAGTGTTGGTTAAAACTTATGCCGATGGCACGCACTGAACACTAAAGATTCACAGTCAGATAATGGATGCAACAACAGAGTCTTATAGGGTTCTGAAAAAAGAGCATCTGAGGAATCAACTTCTTTCTCTCGAGCTAAATGATGATTTTATGCCAGTTTTCAGTTTTCACACTGTTAGGGATTCTAAAGGACATATCCTTGATTCTTTTCTCTTCCCATTTCTCTCCAAGCAGACAAAGAGAATCCATACATAATTATAGAATATATCTCCACGGTCGGCAGGCAACACAAAAAATAAATATAATATCAATTTCTTAATTATTGGGAGTGCAAATTATTCCAAGATCTGCATGAAGTTACCTTGAACTGTTAATCTTTCTTTAAGACTTCAATAATAGATGTCACACGTGCAACATGTCACCCCTCGCTGCCTTCTTTCATGATGAAACTTAATCTTATTTCTCATACAACATATAAAGAAACAAAAAGCTTCATTGATTTGGGAGAGGAAAGGGGTTTGGGGGAATAGTCCATGTTCAACTGTCAAAGTTAATCCTTTTTTACCGCCATCACCAAACGTATCATGTTTATTTGGGGTTCATTGTTGTCTTCAACAGTTCAACTTCACACCTACAAGGCAGAAACAAACAAACAAAAATTTCTTAGTCTCATTTTAGTGCCTTTTTGTGTAATAGCAATGGCATCATATGACTCTGAATTATAATTTAATTAGCACGGCTGTTGACCAGGCTTTTAAAGAAAGAGAATGGAATTCTCTAACAATGCATCCGTTTAATCTCAACCAATCAACACCATCTAATCATCTACATATTAAATAAAGAGAATGAAAAATAGAGGCATCGATACACAGCCAAAATTCCATGAGAGTGATCAAGAGGAAGAGAATTAAAGAGTGATTTACATAGAAAACAAATGGGTGTACTGTTATCCACGAAATTTCATAGTCACAGTTACACTATAATGGCTTGAAGTTCTACTACATGGTAACAGCACAATGCATAGTTTACAGAACCAACATTCAATCTCCTCTTATGATGTCTAGACAGAAGAAATTGGTTGTTACTCCCAGTCCCCAGTCCCACACCGTCAATTTGCCCAACTTCAAAGATAATTGTCCGAGAAACAAGAACACAGACTATGACATGTTCTTCCCTTCTTGATCACCAGGAAAAGGAAAAGGCACAGAAAAAAAAAAAAAAAGGCCACAGTGAGGGAATTAAGAAGTTGAGAAAAGAAGATTTTCATTGAATTGATCATAGGGCTCAGGAATCTGAATTCTTTTCTGAGGTGCAACCACTTGGATTGGGGGTCGTTGAGGAGCTTCCCGCACCATCTTCCTTTTTTCCCCTTCCTGCCATTGACACTGCAGACTTTATTTTCTTCACCACCACTTTGTACATCCTAACTTTAACTTGACCCCTTGGTGGAGGAATTCTTACAGATGGTTTCTCTCCTAAGGTCTTGTCTTCTCTCATGGATTTTGATTGTCTTGAGAGCTCAAGTAGCTCTGTTCGAAAGCAGAGAAAGAAAAACAGGGGGAAAAGAATTCCAAAACAGATTCCCAAGGTCAGACAGAGAGAAGATTATGCGGGGAGAAGGGGCTGCTGTAACATCTATATATAGTGTAAGTAGGTAGAACAAGTGTAGTTATAATCACACTATTGTTAATATTGCATAAATTTTGTTTAATTTAATTGATATTTTATTAAATTTTAATTATTTAAAATAATTACTTATAATATTTATAAATATAGTTTTATAAGTAAATTTTAATTTATTAATTAATAAATATTAATAGTTCTATCAATTATTAATAATTCTTAATAATTAAACTAAAAAAAATTAATATTTTTTTAAAAAAATATTATGTAATCTTAATAAATTAATGCATCTCCACCACTAGTGGAGTGGTCCAAAAAGTTTTATACAATGTAAACAGGTTCTTTCGTATTAATAAAGAAATGAATTTTCTAATGTGAGTGTCAAATAGAACCATCAAGACAGCTGGTCCTTTTGTTCTCCAATTCAATGAATTGATGATGATGCCACATCTCGTATCATATGTCCAAAGATTCAAAGCCATTATGTAGACTTGAATTATTATCATTTTTAATGTTTCAGTGGTGGCTACAAAAAAGCTTAATTTGGAACTTACCACTTACAATCCATTGAGGTAATATATATACATAATATATACATGAAGTTAATGTTTGTCCGTCTTATTTTCTAAAACTTAAAAGGGTAAAGAATAAAAAATACTTTAATTTATTTTTAAAAATATGATATTTTAATTTTTTTTCAATAGATGTTTATTTTATTATTATTATTTTTTGAACAAGTTGTCCAGGGACGGACTCGAAACCCACCAATGAGAAGAGAGAATGCACTTCAAGTTGGCAGGCTGTCAGTTGACTCAAAGAGTCAAGTGCTTTCAATAAATGTTTATTAAAATGACATAATTTTATAATAAATTTTTTTTTGAATATTTAAGAGGTAAGTTGGATGGACACTATTTTCATATATATATATATATATTGTTATAAAGACCCTTCAAACTGAAATTCAACCCTTTCAATCTTAAAACTTGAATATGTAGATGATTCTTGATTCTGTTATATGCCTAAAAATAATTTTGAAAAAAAAAAAAAAACTAAAATAGTCCATGTAATATAAGAATTGATTGTAATAGAATCAAGGATTCAAATTCACTCTTCTTCTTCACAATACATCTCAAGCATTAGTTTTAACGCGAACGACGAGTAGATCTCACTTCTTTTTTTTTTTTTGTTTTTAGTTTAAATGACTACTAAAAGGAAGTCAAAAGTCACCTGCTCCCTTAGGTAACCAGGTTCATGATCAAACTAGGAAAAATAATTGGTTTCCATTCCAAAAGACCACCTGCTCCAATATCCAGTCCCCATAAGCCAAAGAAATGCCAGACCTGAAGAATAAAGAAATAAGCAAAAGAAATATGAAATATAGGAATAAGCAAAAGCAACATTATAAGCCACAGAAATATGAAATATAGGAATAAGCAAAAGCAACATTCTTGATTGTCATAAGAATGTGGGATTTTCAAAGGGGTGAAAAAGATAAAGCTGATCAAGTCCACGGTCATAGTTCTTTGACTGTAAAGATAAAAGTAGAAAGATGAACAAACGATGACCAACTGTACTCAATTAGCGAATGATTACATGGAAATTTCCCCACCATGCTGGGACAAAGTGCAAGTAGCAATCTAACTCATGCTTGGACCCAAATGTGATTATCTGAATCGTTTTTTCCACAAAAATTGTGACATGTTGGCATATCATCAAACACAAGGCAAACACTATTAAACATGGAAGTTCCATTAGGGAAGAAAAAGAATGATATGTAGCATAACAATTACTAGTACAATTCTGTTACTTACATCAACATAAACAGCACCCACTTAGCTAAAGATTACAAAGTAGCAATCTTGATTCGTGCTTACACTTGGACCCAAATATGATTTATCTGAACAGTCTTTCCCCTAAAAATTGTATGATATACGGGCATATCATCAAACACAAGGCAAACACTACTAAACATGAAAGCATCATTATAGAAAAATGATGATATTTAGCATAATAATTAGTACAAATCGTTTAAATTTACATCAACATAAACACGATCATGATTCTTGAATCCAAAACGGAGCATCCAAGAACCAGAGTGTGGAAGTACCCATACGCAAAGGGTCACGGATTTCGACTGTCCGCGTTGTTCGTGGACAGGGTCGGAATCTCATTCGCCGGCACCAACTCGTCGGGATTGTGGATCGACCTGTAGAGGGGGATCCCTACTTGGAATGGTCCTCTTTCTAAGTCCATGCCTTTTTCGGCTTCCTCTGTGTGTTGAGATGCCGGTACCCGGGAGAAAACGAGGGTCACCATCGACATCAAGATGATCACCGCCAGGATTTTCCTCACGGAGGCTGCTTCCATCTCGATCAATCAAGAATTTCAGTGGATTTTCTTCAATGGCGCGAATAGTCGGGATTTAAGCAGTGGTCGGTTGAAGCTTTCCGGTGGTTCCGCTTCATTTTCTGTTTTCAGGTTTTAATGTAAGGTCAATGTGGTTTTTTGCAAGTTTTAATTTCCTAATTTTTGAGTAAAGAAAGTTTACAAGTTACAACTGAAAATCCATGGAAAACCATTTTAAGCAAGATCTTTTTTTGTCCCCAAGAAACAAGACCCCTTTGTTTTTCTCCAACAAACAAAGACCTTTTATTTATAAAAAAAGTAGTGTTATATAGACAAATTTTTTATTTTATTTTTTTATATAATTTTTACGTACCATTAATTAAGTAAATGTATTTAATATCATAAGTCTTATATGAATTAAAAAATTAATTATTTTAATAACACGTCAGATTATATAACAAAAAAGATAAAAAATTATA